ATATACAAATAATGAGCAACAGGAATTTCATTATAAAATATCTATCAATTGGTACTGCTGCTGTGGCTTAGTGGGTTAAGCCTCCACCTGCAGCGCTGACATCCCATTTGGGTACTGGTTCATGTCCTGGCTGCTCCTCTTCTCATCAAGCTCTCTGCTATGGCCTGAGAAAGCTGTGGAAGATGGCCCAAGTGCTTGGGCTCTGCACCCAAATGGGAGACCTTGAAAAAGCTCCTGACTTCGGATCGGCCCAGCTGTCTCTGTCTCTCTGTCTCTCCCTTTCTCTGTAACTCTATCTCTCTTAAAAAGAAAATCTTTAAAAAAATCTGTCAATTAACAAAAGTCTATAACACTCCTAATTCTTTGTTTTCTTTTTTTTAAGATTTGTTCATTTTATTTGAAAAGCAGAGTTAGCACATGCAAGAGAGAGGGAGAGACAGAGATTTTCCATCCACTGGTTCATGCCCTAAATGGCCGCAATGGCCAGAACTGGGCCAGAGCGAAGCCAGGAGCTAATTGCTTCTTTTGAGTCTCCCACATGGGTGCAAGGGCCCAAAAACCCAAGCCATTCTCTGCTGGTCTCCCAGGTGCATTGGCAGAGAGCTGGATCAGAAGTGGAGCAGCCGGAAATTGAACCGGTGCTCATATGGGATGCTGGTGCTGCTGGCAGCAACTTAGCTGCTCTGCTGTAACATTGGCCCAACACTCCTAATTCTAAAATCAGAAGCAGAAGCTTTTTTTTTTTTTTTTTGCACATTAGAAGCAGTCAGCATCGGTCAGTGAAACATACATGTTTTCAGAATCAAATAGACGCCTGTCATGGAGCAGAGCCGTAATGGTCCATGATGCCCCACAGGCAGATCTGTTACAGTTCCTGTCTTCAATGAAAAAATTACTCATTTGTCTTTATGTTTATTTGAAAAGCAGAGACAGAGAGTAAGGTGTAGAGAGACCTTCCACGTGCTGGCTCACACTCCAGATGCCCACAAGGGCCAGAGAGAAGCCAGGAGGCTGAAATTCATCCCAGGTCTCCCGCGTGGGAGGCAGGGACCTGAGCTCTTGAGCCCTCACCTGCTGCCTCCCAGGGTGAGCATCAGCAGGCAGCTGGAGCCTGGAGCAGAGCTGGGACTTGAACCAGGCACTCTGATGTGGGATGTGGACATCCCCAGTGGCAGCTTTCCCAGTGCACCAAACACCCACTTCTTTCTTCTTTTACTCCTGTTTATAACCTACGTTTTATTACTATTTCCTCTCATAGCTTCATCCTTTAGTACATCACTTCTCACTTCATAAATAGCCCATCAAAATCAAGTTGGACATATCCCAAGCTGAACTAATTTCACCCCAAACTGACTCCTCCTCCAGACTCCCTGCCCCAGTGAGTAGCAGCCCTGTGCATCCGTGGCACGTGTCAGTGCTGTCTTTGCCCTCCGCTCCCCCCTCCTTCCCTCTGTGTGGCTGTGGGCTCCTCCCATGTGGCCATCAGATCTGCCCACCGCCCTCTACCTCCACAGCAACTTCCTAGTCCTATGGGGTGTGAATGCAGAGGCCACTAACAGGCATCTGCACATTCACTTTTGTTCCCTCCCAGTCACGGCTGGTCCAGGTAATGGGGTGGACTCATTTCTGCCTTCTAGGGGAATCTGTAAACCCTAGAAATTACACAAGGGGAGTGGAATCAGGATTCTGAAGATAGGAAGGGGGGGAGTTCACGTGGGTCAGAGGAGAGCCAGCAGGTGTGTGGCTGACACCCCACCCTACAGGAGAGTGACCTGGAAGGTGTTTTCTGACAGACGATAGCTCAGATGTGCTCATCTCCATGGGGCAGGACGAGAACCCCACAGGCCACGAAGCAGGGAGAGCCAGGAAGCAACCGTGGGATGCCAACTCCTTCCCCAGCCAGCTCGGGTTCCTCCAGCCTCTGGCCATTCTCAGACTCCTGTGTACACCAGGCACAGAGAGGCCAGGTCACAATGACAAGGGAAAACCCACTACTGGGAGCTCTTTGTCCCTCGGGTCAGAGAATCCCTTCCCCTCTGAACCCTGGACATCTCTGCTTTGGAGAGCTCCATAGTGCCCAACAGCAGTACTGGAAGTACCAGGGTGTAGCAGGAGCCCGACGAGCAAGCAGACAAAATCGCACCCTGTGACTCTGAAAAGTAAGTCGTCATTGGAAACACAGCCCCGTTAGACCAGGAGTTCAGCACTGCACCACCCAGGTAGGAGACTGTCAGAGAAAGCATTCTGTAGGGCACAGATCTCCCCAGCTGGCTGGCTGCTGCCACACACATTCTAAGTGCGGCCTGGAGTCTCCATAATTGTCCTTCACCCTACACGTATCCTGTGCAGCACCCAGAATGCCCTCCAACAACCAAGGTTTCAAAATGGTCATCCTAAAGGCAGTGCTGCAGCAAGGTCTCGCTGATTCTTTTGAAAGGAAAAACAAAAATGGAAAATGTCAACAAAGGAAGAAAAATGATTAAGAAAAGGAACAAGATGGAAGTTGTAGGACTAAAATATTTTGTTTACAAATAAAAGAAACAGGTACTTGCTGGGACAGCTCAGCAGTGGATTGGATAGGACAGAAGAGAAGCAGCCAAGCTAAGGAAAGGAAGGTGGGATTTTCCCCATCTGAGCAGTAGGGAGAAGCTGGACTACAGCAAAAATGAGCAGAGCCTCAGGGAGTGCAGGCGATACCAAAGGTCTTAACACTTGGACACTTGGGTCACTTGGAGATCCGGGGGCGGGGGAGGGTAGGGCTGAAAGGAATCAGGATGAAATGCTCAGAATTCCCCACTTTTGTGAAAGACAAGCCTCAGTGAAGCATGTGGGCCAACTGCAAATAAGATCAACTCAGGTAGACCCCCACGAACCCTTGCTGTAATAAACCTCAAAAGCCCTAAGATGAGGCCTGAAAGCCAGGGAGGGACTGACTGCCTCCAGGACTCAGTGTTGAACGCAGTGGACCTGTAACCTGCAGGCGTGGGAGAGCAGGAAGTGCTGTCACCCGTGAGGACCTCTGTGTCTGGGGAAGGCATTGGTCAGGGATGGAGGGCACATAAAGACGTTCTCAGATGACGAACATGAAAGACATCTGTGGCCAGCAGACCTAGCCTTAAATAAGATGACAGAGGAAGTTCTTCAAACAGAAAGGAAATGGGTTTGAGCAGCAGGAAGTGAAACACCGGAGGCCTCGCTTCTCTCCAGGCCCCCCAAGTCCACACCCCAGTGCTTTGATGTAGAGTTTATAAGGCCCCAGTGCACTGTTCCTTTGCCTGTGGTTCCTCTGTAAAGATGAGCTCATCAAGTGGAGGGGGTGGCCCAGTTGTCCCTAGAGGTGATGAAGTGCCCAGCTCCATCTGGCCTCTCTTCTGAGAGCTGTGCATGAACTCATAGGCCCCATCAGACAAAGTAACACCCTTGTACCCTTAGACCCAGACACACCGGCACCTACCTGTACCACACTGACCAACCAAAGGAAGGCCAGGCACACTGAAGACCAAGCAGAGGCCCATGAGCTGATCGCACTGCTCAACCCAACTGGAACCTGTGTGATTCTCCACCCTGACTCCTTTGGGGAGCCCGGGAATTGAGCGTTGGCTCTGTGCTTTGCAGTGAACTTCGGCATTTTCCCACCACCCTAGTGTTCCAGGTTGGCTTGCTGTGCATTGGGTGAGGTGACTCATTTTGAGGGCTCTATGGCAACTCTGTCAACCAGTTTTGGGGGAGTTCTATAATACTATTTGGTGACTGCAGCCACGATTGTGACATGGTCTGACACGCAAAATAGCAACACTTAAAGGAGGGGAAGGTAAAGGGACCAAGAGGAAATAAAGGTTTCTACACTTCTAAGGATAAAATGTTGATATGAGGGGTGTGTGTATGGCACAGCAGTTGGGACACCCACATCCTGTTTCAGTGAACCTGGTTCAAGTCCCAGCTATTCCACTTCTCCAGCTTGTGCACCCCAGGAGGCTGCAGGCTCAAGTACTTGGGTTCTTGCCACTCACATGGGAAATCCAGATTGAGTTCCAGGCCCCCTGGCTTTGGCCTGGCCCAGCCCCAGCTGTTGTGGGCATCTGAGGAGTGAAGCAGTGGCTGGAAGGTCTCCCTCTGTCTCTTTCTCTGCCTTTCAAATAAGTGAGAAGAAGAGTTGGTGTGAGCAGATGAGTGTGAGACAGATTTGCATACTTAATTTATACACACACACATATGGGACAAATATGGTGACTTCAACACATTCGTGGAAAATGCATATTTAGAAAAAACTATGCATATTTGGCAGAAAACCCCCTTATCTTCAAATCCCACTTCCTGTGAACTTTTTGAAGTGGCCTCACATATACAAGAGAAGAACTATCAGTAAATGAACATGGAATCCTGAAGTTAATTTGGATAAGAATCTGGAAGAACTAGTCCGTGCTGGAGTTGCAGTTTGAGAACACCTGCCCCAGAGAGCGTCATGACTGAGAGATCATTTAGTTCAGGGCTTCTCAGCCATCAGTGTGTATATATTAGTCCTGCGGGAATCCTTAAAAGGCAAATCGTGGTTGACTGGTGTGGGATCTAGGACTCTGCACCCTAGGCAGGCCGTGATGCAAGAAACACGCCCTGGATACAGGGATTGATTCCTGCCCCCTCCCCTAAGACTTGAGAAGCTGCCGGCCCTGCCTGCATGGTTTTTCAGGCACTGCAGTGGCTCTGGGTGCCTCGGCTGTGGGGCTGCGTTCCGATTACAGCGCTTCCTTGAGCTCTTGTTTCTGGGTTCCTGGGCCAGCCTTGGTGCTGCCCGTCCCGTGTCAGGATTTGAATATACCCTCAACTCTGAAGAATTCCTTTCAGTTCATTTCCTTGCTTTGCTTTAGCCATCAAGAGTTGATTTCTGGTGCTGTGAGCTTGGCTTGGGGTACAAAGAGACACACCTTACCTGTGCACAAGAAAATGGGTCGCCCTTCTTTGGAGTACAGCAGTGAGATGCTTCCTGGAAGGTTGACCCAAGCCCTGCAGTGACTTCCAAGTATCTGTCTCCCACATGACCTCTCCACCCTGCAGCCCCCCCCCCTTCCTCACCCACACCTGAGTGTGTGTTAAGCATCTCAGATGTCACGCGTCAAAAACAAACCTGATCATCTCCAGCAAGGGGCACACAGGCTTTTGTGTAGTGACCTGATAGGAACCGAGATAGTCTCCTAGCTTTCTCTCTCCTCCTCTTTCCGACCTATCAGTCCGTAGGTAGGGTCAGGCGAGCTTGGAGACACAGTCGGGATCCACTCCTACACCCTGCCCACTGCCTGACCCTGCTCTAAACCGCCAGGAAACGGCCTCCCTGGATAGCGGCCATCCCTCTTGGCTGCATCTTCTCCGTCCTCTCCAGCTATGCATGTGGAAGCCAGAGGGACTCTAAAATGTAAACCAGGGCATGGCCCTGCCATACGCAGTTGCTGGCAGCTGCTCCCCTCACTGCTGAGGCCCACGGGCTCCATGGGACTTGCCGCTTGGCTGGACCTCTGCCCGGGCTCCTGCCTGTCTCCTCCCTGCACAGGTGCATTCTGGTTCAGAGCATCAGTGCTGGACGCTCCAGAAAGAATGGAGGTGCTCTCATCTCAGAGTGTGGAGGCTGTGCGGCATGGCACTGCCACCACGAAGCTGTGTGAGGGCCTCGGCAGACGGCGTCGTGATAGTGGGAGTGCGTGCAAGGGCGGCATCAGGATGGTGGGCAAGTGTGCAGGAGCGGGGAGCCGTGAGTGAGGGGCAGGTGTCAGGCTGGTTTTCACTCTGGAACCAATGCAGCCCTGAGACCAGCAGTGATCCCTATGTGTGGGCAGAGCCCCCGGGCCTACCTACCCCTGATTAGGACTCCACTTCATGGGTCCCCCAGCTCCGCAGGGCTGCACTGGGATCATGCTTAGCATGGGCCTTGCTCTAGCCACGCCGGGCGCCATGTTTCCTCCATATCTGTGATGAAGTCTCAGAGGGAAAGGGTCCGTCTGTTTTCTCATTGTTGTGTTTCTAGTACCTACAACAATGCCTGACACGGACAGATGTCAGCGAACAGTTCTTAAATGTGGAAATGAATTTTAAAAACATTCAATCTAAAAGAAGGTAGTGAAAAAGGGAATAGGGTCAGATAGGAAAGTGCATGGTGAGATCTAGATACAGTTTAATCATTTCTGTAATAATGTCCAGTCACAATTAAGAGACAGATGTCATGCGGAAAGGAAAAACAAAACAAAGCAAATCAAGAACCATTTTATGCTAGTTGCAAGAAACAAAGTTTAACTATAAAGACACAATTGGGTTAAAGTATGGGAAAAGATGTACCATACTAAGCTAACCAGAAGCAATCTACAGTGGCTGTATTAATATCAAACAAACTGGAAGAGAAGGTTACTTCCTAAGCATAAAGGAGTGATCTCACCATAGAGTACAACCGCTGTCAGTATCAGCCCACTTTGCAACAGGGCTTCAAAACACAGAACTGCAAGGGTAAACAGACAAATCCACAGACACACCCACTCATGCATGGTAAGTGAATGTTTTTAAGATTTATTTTCCTTATTTTTGAAAGAGTTGCATGGGCAGGAGAAAGTGGGGGGAGTGGAAGAGGGTGTGGGGGTAGAGAGACAGATTGATTCCATCTACTGGTTCATTCCCCAAATGGCCACAGTGGCCATGGGTGGGCCAGGCCAAAGCCAGGAGCTTCATCCAGCCCCACATGGGTACAGGGGCCCAACCACTTGGGTCATTTTCCACTGGTTTCTCAGGCACGTTAGCAGGGAGTGGGTAGGAAGTGGAACAGCCGGGACATGAACTGGCACCCATATGGGTGCTGGTGCTGCAGAGGCCACAGCGCTGGCCTCTGTTAAGTGAATTTTTGACACGGTGCAGAGGCGAATCGGAGGGAAGAGGATAGGCTTTCCAGTAGATTTCACTGAACCATTGTACGGTCACATATACAATGAAGTTTAGCCTGCACATTGCATCTCATCACAAAATCAGCGCTAAATAGATGGCAGACATAAATAAGAGGCACAAAACTGTGACCAGCCTACAAGAACACATAGAAGACAGTCTCTGACATTTGATTAGGCAACGATTTCTCACATAGAACACCAAAAGCACAATCCATAAAAGTAAACATTTGATAAATTAGGCTTTGTCAAAATTAAGGACTCTGCTCTTTGAGAGAACTGTGACCAGAATGAAAAGTCATAGGGAGGAAATATTTCAAAATCACATATCAGCTAAGGAATGTGCGTGCAGAATATGGGAAGACGTTTCCAAGATAAGGGAACAAGCGGCCGAAATCAAACTGGTGAAAAGCTTCGGCAGGCATTTCACTGAAGATGATACGGCCACGCCAGATAAGGAGAAAGAAAGGGGAGATTAAAAGTGCGGCGACTTATCCGTGCACATTGGTTAGAATGCCTACAGCTGGAACTACTGTGCCATACCTGCACACATCGTCAGAATGTGTGGAATTGAAGAGATGGCGACGCCCTCATCAGCACGCGGAGCAGCTGGAACTCTCGTGCTTGCTGCTGGCCTACTCCCTCGGAAAACGTCCGTCAGTTTCTGAAGGAGTTAAGGACGACCCCAACCATGTGATCCAGCCACTCTGTTCCACATGCAGACCAAGACCTGCGCACAGATGTTTGTGGAGGTTTTATTACTGATAATGCCAAACCGGAGACAACTCCAACGTCTGTCAGCAGGTGACTGGATAAACTGCTATCTGCACACAGTGGAGCATCGATGGACTCCACTGTCTTGAGGAATAGACGGCAGATGAGAGAGAGAATTCACGTGTACAATTCTACTGACCTGAAGTTCTAGAAAATGCACTCTGATCTATAGGAAGTGATGTAGACCAGCAATTGCTGGGATCAGAATGGGGTTCAGGGAGAGGAGAGGCAAGAAGTGAGGATAGGCATGTACAAACTTCCCAAACCGTGTGCTTTAAGTATAGTTTATTGTGCGTCAGTCACGTCTCAATACCTCTGTTCCAGAGCAGAAAACAGGAGTTAGACCGCTTGTCTCCTAGGCTGCCGTTTGACCCGTGAAATAGCAATGGCAATGAGGTTATTCATCAGTGGATCCCACATGTGATGTAATGAGATACACAGAGATCTTGGGGTTGTGTAATTGAGTTTTTTAAGGTGAAGGACCAGACTGAGTGGGGTGAATTGGCCCAAATCACATCAGAGTGCAGTGTTCTAAACCCAAGGCAAAAGGCAAAAGCTTTGGCTTGCGCCACTGATAAAGCTAAGTCAGGATGACATTTTCATAAGTGATCTGTAATTGTGAGTCTGTGGATTCTTGGAGTTGACTGACAGTAATTCCACTGGTTGAAAAATCCACACAGTCTTGTGAATTGTTGAGCACAGCACAAAAGAACTGGTGCTGTCTGACCACAGTCCCCATCAGAATTCTGGTGTATTCTAAACCCCTATTGATGACTTTAATATATTGAATACTGGCTTCTGTCTAAATTAGAAAGTGGCACAGCTTGCTGTGGATCTTTTTTATCTCCTGCTTTCAGATACTCATCATGATACGCTGGTTTTGGTTTGCTGGAGGTTGAAACATTTTAATTCCACGTTGCGGAGAATGGGCCGAGAGAACCCCCAGATGTGAGATTTCTGCAGCTTGCTCGGTGCCCTGCGGCGTTTCGTGGCGACGGAGGCCCGAGGTGTGCGTTACTGGAATAGGGATGGCACCCCTGGTTTATGACAAGTGTAACTGCTCTTGTCTCCAGCAGGGCACCCAGGTGTTACCCGCTCTGAAATCTTAATCCTTTCCAAACCAGAGTGCAGACGTGAGCTTCAAGCTACTTTGGTTTACGTGGAAGCGTTTTGGACATTTTTGCTAGAGACGAGATTTTCCTCCATCTTCAGGGAGGAACGCTTCAGCCCTCCCAGTCTACGAGTTCAGTGTGTAAACAAACAAGTCCAGTGATAGTGCAGAGAAAAGTCGCAGGCATCTTTCTAGTGTGGGATGACCGAGGATGAGGTCATGGGGCCCCGCGGCGTGTCTCAGCGAAGACTGCCCTCCAGAGAGCCGGCTTGCTTCGCAGCTCCGCGGTCGGGCCAAGAAAAGTAATTACAGAGATTAATGCTAATATTTGATTTTGTGGTCCCTGGGCCCGCCCCCAGAGCTAGTATTATCTGGGGGCAGGGAGACATACAGCGAGCAGGACACACACAGCCTCCAAGTGGTTGGGCTGACCCTCGGAGCCTCCCCCAGGAGTCTCTGCACAGGGCCTCCCCAGCTCCTGTCCTTCCTGGGTGTCAGCCAGGAGCAAAGGGCTGAGCAGGGCTGGCGTTGGACTCCTGTGTCCCTTCTGTGTCCACAGGTACAGGTCTGAAAGTCATAACTGAGCGTGGAGAGGACAGCTTTGACTATCGGAGCCTCTGCCTTAAAACACACAACTAACACAAGTGCTGGTGGCTCAGGGTGGACTTCGGGGCCAAAGGTCAACAGAGGCGTGTGGTTGACAAGCAAAGTGAGGGAGTGCACCCCGTGACGTCTGGGGTCCCTCTGTGATCTGGAGGCGCAGGATGTGGTGATTTGGGTGGGGTTCCCCAGAAAAAGGGTGGGGGTCTCCAGGAGTTCTGGCCTTGTAAGGAAGTCTCCCGAGTCCTGGCATCGGGCGGGTGGTGAGCGTGGGAGTGTCTGCCATGGTCGTTTCATTAGAAGGACACTAGCGTCGCCCAGGGCGTCACGGGACAACGTCCGCAGGCATGCTGGGTATGTTTGGCGGCGCTGGTTCTGGGCTCAGCATTGGTGGACGGTGATTCCAGGGATGCAGCAGGGCAGGAGGGTGGTGAAGTATTTCCTGGGGCTCTGCCTCTGACCCCCACCGCCTGCCTCACCTCGATCACAGGTCACACATCCTTTGTCCTTGAAAGGACCTCATGTTGTCTCTGACGCTCAGGGCAAAGAGATATTGAAGATGCCCACGGATTAATATTACAAAGACATGAGAAGCGCAGGAGGACGGGGACAGCCTGCCCGGGGCAGGGCCAGGTTTCCGGCTGCAGTAGCCCTCAGCTCTGCCAGTGCAGGAGGGGTTGCCATGGGAACCGTTGCCGAAGACAGAGTACAGGAGAGCGCGTGCTGGCGAGAGGCTGGTGGGAGAGGAATTGTGCTGCTGCCACACGGTGCCCTCCTGTCAGTGGGGTCCTCACATTCCCCCTAAATCACTTCCCAACCCCCTTTTAATCTCTTATCATATAATTCATTAACAAACAACTCTTGGCTGTAGGCTACACACAGAGAGAACCAAATGTTCACTTTACACAGTAGAAGTTAAAGGGCTGTGATTTTTTGTAGTGCTTGCTTGTTTTCTTGCCTTCGCATCGCTTTTGGGGCAAACTTGTCTGCCCCACCCCCTTAGGCTGGCAGAACGGCCTTGTAGGGGGTGTGTGTGGCACGGGCTCTTCGCTCTTCCTTTCATCCTGTCGTGCATCACACGCACCTTTATTTGAGCAGCGGAGAGAGGGATGTCCTGTCTGCCAGTCACTCCCCAAATGCCCACAATGGCTGGGGGCTGGGGCAGGGCTGGAGCCAGGAGTTGGGAGCTCCATCTGTGTCTCTGATGTGGGTGCAGGGGCCCCATACTGGAGCCATCACCTGCTGCTTCCCAGGCGCATTAGCAGGGAGCTGGAGTAGAAGCAGAGCTGCCGGGAGTGCCTGAGTCACAAGCAGCAGCTTGGTCCCACCCCATGAATTAAACTGCGACAGGGTCCTTTAGTTCAAGCTTTGTTTTTATTCTTACTGGGAATTCTCAGCCTGGGAGGTCTTTGGATTACCCCCTGGAAGTGGAGACAACAGAGTCCAGAAGCCCAGCAGTGCCTCTCAGGGGCTCAGACCCTAGAACGGGGTCCAGCACCGACCGCTAGGCAGTGAGGTTGGGCCTGGCCCAGCCCAGCCGGGAGGATTTGCTGATTCTAGAAAGTGAGATTGAAATCGGAAAAGCCCGTTGTTCCTGGGGTTGTGAGTGTGGGAAGGGCAAGTGTGAGGAGTGGGGCCGGAGGGCGTCTCCCTTCTCAGGGTCCTTGCTGGTGGTGTGTTCCACAGCAACTCCCTGAGCGAGCACTGTGCGGTTCTGTTTGCTCAGCCGTCTCCCACCGTGCAGGCCTGAGTCACTGAGTCACTGTGGCCACAGGCGGCTGAGCGTGAGCTGCAGGTCCGGGGAGATGAGGTTTCCAAGGTTTGTTCCTTCCTCCCCCGGCTCTGAGAAACGCTCACGACAGGGAAGTCCTGAGATCCTGTCATGCCTACCACCCAGGAGCGTGTCTTACTTGAGGGCTTCAAAATTAAGATGGAGACCGCGTGTTAGTTCTTTTCAGAATATGGTCTCAGGTTGGGTTTCAAGTGCTGGTGCAGTGGGTTCGGCCACTGCTTGCAATGCCAGCGTCCCTTATCGGAGCACTGGTTCCAGTCCTGGCTGCTCTGCTTCCTGCCCAGCCCCCTGCTAATGTGCCTGGGAAGGCAGCAGAAGATGGCCCAAGTGCTAGGACCCTGACACCTAAGAGACCCGGGTGAATCTCTTGGTGTCAGTGTGGCCCAGTCTTAGCCTCTGTGGCTATTTGGGGACTTCGTCAGCAAATAGAACATCTCTCTCTCTGTCTTTCCGCCCTTCAAATAAATAAAATAAATATTAACAGAAGTGATAGGCCACTAAAAGGAAGCAGAAGGGATGCAGTGGCAGGAGGATGTCCAGTGTCCAGGTTGAGGGCAGGGCAATAGCCCTGACCCCAAGAGAGCCCCAGGAGCCTAGGGGCACCTTCCTTCTCCAGGGGATGCTTGGGCTGTTTGGAAATGGGATGGGGCAGGGAGGGTGGCCCAGGGCTGGAGATGGTCCCCCGGGTGCAGGCCGGCGCATCTCTGGAGGATGTGTGTGGAAGATGTGAACACCAATGACTTTGCTGACGAGAGGGGCTCACCCAGCCTTCTTCTGCCAGCTGTTGAGTGCCAAGCACACGGAGCAGCAGCAGATCTGCCGCTGGGCGAGGGGCTTTCGCTGCCAACTTCACAGGAGCAGCTCCGTCCTGGGCACGTCCCCCTGCAGGAGGATGGGTTCTTGCCCACAGCCCGTGCAGCTCAGCGGGTGAGGCCTCCCGTTGGCCTGCGGTGTGGGCAAGGCGGCAGGAAGCAGGAGGCGAGGAGACATGAGGTGGCTGACACTGTGTTCGAGACTGGCTCCGTGGGGGCTAGGGCCAGGGACGGCGGCCACGCCCACATCAGGCATTAGCAGATCGCCTGTGAGCACTGGAAACAGGCCTGTGCTGAATTTCCAGGGAGCGAGGGCCTGTGATTAAGTTAATCCCCCACCATCCTGTGCTGTAGGCGTGGGCAACAGCGAACCAGATTGGCACACTTGCTCCCTCTGTGGATTTGTTCTCCCCAACCTCACTGTGGAAGAAACCGGATGTAAGTCCGACTTTAATGTGGATGAGACGAGAGGTTTCCCCTGGATGTGCCTCTGTTTCCTGGGGGCAGTCCCTCCGGGAGGGCCGTCAGTCTCCAGGTGCGATTCGCTTCAGCGGCCGTGCGGCAGGAGTGCCAGCTGTCTCGGCCTTGAGGTCTCTTGTCTGAGACAAAGATGTCAGAACTCACTGTTGCTTCCTCCCAGGACTGGTCCCACTGCCCTGATGAACCGCAGCACCCCGTGGCGCCATGGCATTGGGCAGAGCCCTGGGCCTATCCTGACCGGATGCTGCTCCCGCTTGGAGCTGTTGGGTCTCGCCCCCGGGGCAGACTGCTCTCTGAGGGCTCCCCTGCAGCGGGCCAGGCCACCCCCACAGGCCCGCCTCTGTGGTGTGCACGGTAGGGTCTGAACTTCCCAGACAGAAAAGCGTTTTCCCTTCAGGGTGGGGTGCCACAGCAGCCAGACTGCTCTTGTTCCTGGGGGCTGAGCTCTGGCTTCCCTGGGAGGTGGGAGAAGGCAGCCCTGAGGTGACCGTCAAGGCCCTCTGGTTCACTCATTTAGTGAGTGGTGCGTGAGCTGCAGCTCTGGGAACGTCTTCTGCTGGGGTTTGGGCCTCCTCGTGAGTGGGGCAGAGAGAGACTGTCACTGAAGATGCAGAAGGTGTATGGGGCAAGGGTGTTGGCAAAGCAGACTGAGATCCAGAAACATCGCAACTTAGGGCAAACAATAACAAACAGCTTTCCGAATCAGAGGTTGGCCATGGGAATCTAAAACCAAGTCCTTTCCAAGCTGCGCTGACCCCTCCCAGAATCTCCAGGCTGCAGCATGTTCACAGAGGACAGTCATTGCTGGCGAGATGCAGCAAGGGCCCAACCCAGGGCACGTGGCCATAGAGGACGGTGAGACCAAGCAATGAGAAGGATGAGAGGGCTTGGCCAGCAACAGGAAGTGGTGGGCCAGCGCAGAGCGCAAGGACCCCTGCTGTGATTGGCTGGGCACTGCTGGCCAAGGCGCTCATCAGGTGGAAGGGGTGGCTGGTGCAGTCTGGCTTGGGTTCAAAGGACTGAGCAGAGGTCCCTGGGAGGGGGTTGACTGAGTGGCCTGGCGGCTAAGAACAGGTGCTTATGCAGACAGAGCTGCCAGTGGGACAGTTGAGTGGGTGTCTGTGTCCCTGAACTTGAGACTGGGAGAGGAAATCAGGAGGGGTCACAGTCACATAGGGAACATGGTAAAATGTCACAGGAGGCGTGATTGCCAAGGGTTCATGGCGCCAACTACTGAGGAGCAACGTGGCCAAATGCGGTTGTCCTAAAGGTGGCCAGAGCAGCTCCACCAGATCCAGACACCGGGGGCTTCCCTGGGAGAGGCTGGGGTCTGAGGCCTGCACTTTCACACGCTCCCTGGGGATGCCCGTATCCCACACAGAGTGGCCAGGGTCACTTGCTGAGGCTGGATCCTGACTCCAGCTCCCTGCTGATGCACACCCTGGAGGCAGCAGGTGATAACTCGAGCCCTTGAGTCCCCACCACCTACGTGGGAGACCTGGATTGAGTTCCCAGCTCCTGGCTTCAGCTTGGCCAAGGGCGGCTGTTGTATTTGGGGAGTGAACCAGTGGTTGGAAGATCTCTGTCTGCTCCCAGGGGATATTCAGGAGGCGTCGTCGCGGGACTTTGTTCCACCTCTGCAGCTCTCGGTCTCAAGCTAATAACACACAGAGAGGCTTTCCTGAAGGCCGAGCACCCGTCCATTCTGCGAGGGCCGCCGGCTGCTTTTCTGGCTGGGCCAGCCTCGGGGATGATGGATTGTGTAGAATGGATCCTCTGTGGCCCACACAGCCTGGCTCTCCCTGCGCTCCCTGTAGTCCTTGGCCGTCACTGAGGGCTGCTTGGTGCTCAGCTCCGAGAAGTCACTCATGCAATGTGTCGGAAGCTGTTGAGAACACCACAGAGCACAGCCCCTCTCCCATCTCCGTACAGGACGGCCTGCTGTACTGCTTGAGAAGTGCCGACTCCCGCCCCTCCCCCACAGTCGGCAAAGGGAGGGTTCGTTTTTCTGAGCTGCGGCTGGAGCATTCAGGTCTCGGCGTGCAGCTGACTTCTGTTGAAGCACACTGACAGGAATGGCTCTTTCTGTCCCTGTTCTTGGCTGGCTTTTTCAAGTATTGCATGGACTTTTATCAATCACATCAAATCAAGTAAAGAGTAACAAGTGACACACTGATAACTAAAATGTGAATTACAGAAAACGCCTCATTTATCTTTTAAACTATTCTAGGCAATAACCCGACATCCTCCCGTCTTTTCCCAAGGGCAGAGGCTCTGAGTCACAGGATCGTTCATTTACGGGAATCCATGGCCGAGAGAATCTTGGGGCGGCCTCGCGGCGGCCAGATATGTTCCCAGTTCATGTTGTCTCTTGGCATTATCCGATGTGACCCGTTTCCAGAGAGTTATTTAAAGGCCGTTCCCAAACACAAATACTAACTGGGAAAGAAAGGATTTGGCAACCTTGGACCTCAGGAATTCCAAACAAAAATGGAACTGGAACATGAAGTTCTGAAATCTTCTCTTGCAGAATTTCTGATAGAACACAATACAAATTTGAAAAATGTTCCTCTTTTCTCATTCACATAAACACATGCAGAAGAACAGCTCTGCACTACACAGATTTAAGCTAATGTCCCCCTCTTGGACAAATTGAGTCAAAACTTTGCTAACAATTTCCCTGCAAAATGCATGCATGCATTGCAGAGTCAGATACATCTGTAAATAGTTGAAAATCAAACAGTGCATGCCACTTGCACTGCCAAAGTGACACCCCATTTAAGTTTTTCACAAATGTCTTCCAGATTTGCAAATCCTCTTTGATGTTTTCAGTTTAATGAGCAAGTGCTGAAATGGTTTTCCAGTGGAAGTGAGGCTTTAGGGCAATAGCTATGGCGGTCATCTTGCTCAGATCACCAGGGGACACAGTTTCAGGCAGCCAGACAGAATAGACCTGCCTGGAAATCACTGACTCTCAGAAGGATCGCATGCACCCAGCAATTCCCCTTGGAGTGTGCCTGGCCCCGTGAACCGAGTCGCGCTCCATCCCACTCAGAGCCAACACGGTGGACAGCCCCGGCTCTCCCTGCGGGACGGTCTGCATTTGCAGCGCTCTCAGAGGTGTCAGGATCTCCCGGGACCTTTAGCAGGGCCTGGGGAGAAACCGTGGCTCGGGAGGAGGCGAGGGCCCTGGTGAAAGGTGCAGGATTGTGTCGGGTCGGGTCGTGTATTGAGTACTGAGAACACGCAGATGTGAAATAACAAGAACAGGCCTTCCCCTTAATGTAGAGACAGGTCCAGAAAGTTATGTGTGTATTTGAGACATTTCCCACACTTTTCGCAGTGCAGCCCTGGACGACAGCTATTCTGTAATAAAGCGCCAAGACTCAGCCCCAGGCCTCCTCCCGGATTCCTGGGAACGTGGTCCCTGGACAGACAGATGCTCCTCCTGACGGATTATGCCATTGGACCGCAGCCTGGGAAGGGGAACAGAGACAGGCTTTCTCCTGAAATTCCATTCTCTTGAACAATAACCACGCTTTCCTAGAGAAAGTCCTCATGCACACTTGCAGCAGTGTGGGCGCTACCTGGGGGTTTGTTAGGCAAGCTTCTTTTTGAAAAACTAGTGTTACCTTTGTATTTTATTTGAGAGGCAGAGAAACAAAGAGCTCCCATCTGTTGGTTCACTCCCCAAATGCTGGCAATGTCAGGGGTCAAGCAGAAGCCAGGAACTGGGAACTCAACCCCCGTCTCTTACGCGGGTGGTGGAGGACTCGCGCTTGAGCTGCAGCCTGCTACTTCTCAGGGTCTGCTGGGCAGAGGCCGGAGCTGGGAGCCAGAGTCAGGCATGGAACCCAGGCACTCTGGTGTGGGACGAGGGCCTCTTCACCAGTGCCTCAACCGCTGGACCAGCGTCCCCGCCCAGACGTGCAGACTCGCAAGCTCTGCAGCTCGAGCCTTGCCCCCATTGTCACAGTAACCCATCTGCACTGAGGCCGCCTCCTGCCTGCAGGCTACTCAGGCTTTAGGTGCTGGCCCCTTCCAAGTCCCTTCTCTCAGCCACCCTGGGTGTGGACTCCTCACACGCAACTGTCTGTGGCAGTGCCATTGAGCATTCTGCTCCAGCTAGTACCGTCTCCACGCCCCCCCCCCGACCCCCAGCTGCAGTACTGTGCACCTGCCATGGTCTCTGTCATGACAGTGTCGCTGAGTGGTTCCTCCCATCCAGTGTTGTCTCCCCAACCCCACCCCTCCCCAGTGCCTGCACCTGCCATGGTCTCTGTCATGACAGTGTCGCTGAGTGGTTCCTCCCATCCAGTGTTGTCTCCCCTTCTCCACCCCTCCCCAGTGCCTGCACCTGCCATTGTCTCTGTCATGGCAGTATCAGTGGTTCCCTCCCATCCAGTGTTGTCTCCCCTTCTCCACCCCTCCCCAGTGCCTGCACCTGCCATGGTTTATGTCATGACAGTGTCGCTGAGTGGTTCCTCCCATCCAGTGTTGTCTCCCCTTCTCCACCCCTCCCCAGTGCCTGCTCCTGCATTGTCTCTGTCATGGCAGTATCAGTGGTTCCCTCCCATCCAGTGTTGTCTCCCCTTCTCCACCCCTCCCCCCGTGCCTGCACCTGCCATGGTTTATGCATGGCAGTGTCACTGAGTGGTTCCCTTCCATCTGGTGTTATCCCCCAACCCCTCACAATGCCACGCACCTGCCGTTGATTCTTCTCCACACAGGAGCCATCTCCTCTTCTCCCCGTTAGACGGATGGGAAGAACGGTGGATGAGTGCTGAAGGCAGACAGTACAGCCTTCCTTCAAATCCAGCCCTTTTCCCATGGCCAGCACCAAGGACGTCATTGACTTTTCCTCTCATTGTGTTCTTAGGCAGGAAAGTTGAGCGGCTCACCTCCCAGGAGAGGAGGTGCAGGTGAGGCCCTGGTCCAGTGAAAAGATGCATGAGGAACACCAAGTAACCTCGCACCCTTGGCTGGCCGGGCTCACCCTTACTCCCGTAGCCCAGGTCTCTCCTGCGTAAGAGCCGCCCAGGGACACTGGCTGCCTGTCCATCTCTGCTTCCCATTCTGAGACCCTAAATGGCGGACCCGTTTCTCACCTCTGCCCCATTCATGTAGCGGGATGCTCTGCTTCTCTCAGAATTCCTCGTAGAGTTGTGTGCGCGCTGTGTGCGTGTGTGCCTGCCAGCATGAAAAATTGAGAAATAGAAGAGCCGGCAGTGTCCTTGGCGACATCCTCCCCCCTCCCCGCCCCTGCTGTGCATGCTGGGACCAGCAGTGGCCTCTTCATGAGCAGCCCTCGAGGGCTGGGTGGGATGCAGCCACCAGGCCTGTGGAGGTCCAGGTTGCTTCCTGGCACCCCCGTGGGCACGTCACGGAGAATGCTCCCAAAAGTGTTTCTGGAGGGTCTTGAGCAGTCAGTGTTCCTTCCCAAACAAATGTGGCGTGGGGTCCAAGGGCTCACCACGCCCGCCTTTGGAATACACAGATTAGCTTCTTCGGCAGCACTGGCTGTAACTGTCAGTCCTACGGCGGAGTGGGGGCCTCGTTCGGAATCGGCAGATTAGGTCGTTGTCTCTCCAGCAGCCGTGCTGCGCGATCGCAGACTGCTCCAATTAGCCACTGCTTCCACTCGGCGCTGCCCTCCGTGGCTGTTCTTCTGTCTGCTTTGAACTCCACTTCCTGCTCAGCACTCAGCCCGCACAATCCCACACACACTCTGTCTTCCCTTTAGCTTTATCTTGAACTCCGCTGCTTTGAAGAGCACTTGAACTGCACGAGGGTGTCACCTGGGTGCTGCCTCCCCCCGAAAGCCGTGTCTTCCCTGCCGCGGAGTGCAGCTTCGTCCGACTGCCATCAGCTCGGCTGGGGGAGTCCAGGGCGCACGGCCCAGGCCCCGAGCGCCCCCTCTCCTCGCAGGCTTCGAGACGCACTCAGCCAGGTTGCCTCTCCCACACGCACTCCCCCCCAGCCCTGAGGACCAGGATGTGTTTGCCGTGAACTCTGGCCCAGCTCTGGGAGAGCAGTCCCTGCTTTCCCATGGGGCGTGGACTGTAGGACGTCGTGGATGTTCCCAGTGTCACTCTGCTGCCTGAGTGCCTGGGCAGGCAATGAGCTGGACCGAGGAGGGGGCACAGGACCTTGCCCAGTCTCCAGCGTGCCTTGCGCATGGGTTGAGGCCTGAACCTGCTGCGTGCTGTGGGGCTGCCGCGGCTGGCCTCACAGCCAAGCTCCCTCTCCTTCCGTGCCTTGAGTGCCGCTGTCATCCACGCCAGGGTGCTCTGTGTGTGTGTGCTCCCCCAGCCCCCGCTGCCCACACACTGGAGACAGTTGTGTGTTGTGACAAAGGAGAGAGCTTCTATTTGTAACTCCTGTGAAGGCAGGGAGCTCAGATCCTTGATGGGTTCCAGAAAGGACACTGATATGTAAAACAGGCCCTGAAAATGCAGTTTAAATGCGCTTATTTGGATGCACACCATCTTGGAATACACGGGTACCTTTACCATAATATGCATTTTCACAATTTTTTTTTGGAAATACCCTTGTGCATGGATTTCAATTTTTTTTTTTTTGCATCAAACCAGGCTGATCTTTAATTGCATTTTCCATGAATACTGCCACGTACCCTGAAACAGTACCCACGTACTGTGTGTGTGGCCTGACTGACACAACCCTGGTGATTTTTCCCAGATCCCACACAAGGCCACAGGAGAGAAGGGGAAGTGCTGGGACGTACATGGGAAGAATGGGGTGGGGGACCTTAGGGTGCATCTTAGCTCACACCCCAAGGAGAGGAACAGGGTCTTTGGGGTGCATCTTAGCTCACACTCCAAGGAGGGGAACAGGGTCTTTGGGGTGCATCTTAGCTCACACTCCAAGGGGAGAAGCTGATCCTGAGCCATGTGTGGCCCTTGGCAGCCATCCTGGAGAAGGGGAGGCGACTTCCCATAGCAGGTACAGACAGGATGTGGGCAGCTGGAAAGTGACAGGTACGTCTTATGGAACCCAGTTTTGCCTCATTCTTCTTTAGGTCTTATCGGTCACTGAAGCAATGGGGTGGCACACTGCTCTGGGGGGGTCTGGGGGATGCGGTAGCCCCCCAGGCAGTCATCCTCAGGAGCGCCCTGCCCTGCCCTTACAGCTCCTGCCCCCCCATCAGGCTCCCCCTGCTGCTGGAGGCCCTGGCCCATGGCAGAAGGCGCCTGCCACGTGGCCTCTGGGAGCCAGGGGCCGAGAGCGTCCTGGGTCTGGAGGAGCCCAGATTCTGCTGGCAGCCGGAAAGAAGGGACAGACCTGGGCTCTGGGGAGGCAGAGCCCAGGACCTGGAGAGGTGCTGGCGTGCAGGTGCAGGAGGGGCTGGATGGGCAGCTGTCATGAACCCATCACGCACCTCTAAAGTTGGTGCAGTTCTCTTTGCTCCTTGTGCCTGGGGATTGCTGTCTCTTTGTCCGGTTTGTGAAATTAAGACAGTACAGGCTTTCAACACGTAAGTTTTTGTTAGACCCTAAAGGAACAATATGAGATGAAAATAGTTATATGAAGTTCAGAGAATTCTATGATAATTAGTACAATTATGCAGCAGATTAAGCTTGTTGAGAAGATAAACTGATTTTTTTTTCTAAGTTCACTTCTTATTCTGTCAAGGAAGTCATTGTTATCTTGTTGCTTTGGTATATCATACAGATTTTGTCTCCTGGCCTTTCATGTGTAGGAGCATAAATTTAAAAATTTATTTATTTTTAATGAGTTTGAGGCAGAGAGAGAGAGAGAGAGCGTGCACGCTCAAGCCCTCATTGGTTCATTCACCACCCAAATGTATGCCAAAGCCTGGAGCTAAGCCAGGCCAATAATGGGAGCTGTGGACTCAACTGAGGTCTCCCCTGTGGGCGGCAGGAGCCCTCCCTGTTGCCTCCCAGGGTCTGCGTTGGCGGGAAGCGGGAGTGAGGGGCTCTAGTGTGGGACCTGGGAGCCTTAACCGCTAGGCTAAACACCTGCTCCTGGAGAACACATAGTTTTGTATCATTAGAGCTTAAATTTTTTCTTGTAGCTATTTTTTGTATTAACAGTGAAATTGCTGTGGGGGGGGGGGGTTCCTATTTGAACGAGACCTCACTGCCAGCCCAGAGCAGCGTCTCTGTGACATGGGAAGCCCCCGTGCTCAGTGCTGGTCCATGTCAGCCCCATGGGACTCTGGACCCCTCAACACTTGGCTTGATTGAGGGAGACTCCAACTTTCATTTTAATTCATTTAAATATGCGCAGCCACTCGTGGCTCCTGGTCACCCGACTGGCCAAGCAGGTTCCGGGGTTGACCAGTGATGCGTGGCCTCATGCGGGGAACGGCTGCAGCGACATCAGGAAGGGGACCCTGTCCACAGTGATCACCCCTTGAGTAGCTCAGTGTGCTGGAAGTAACTGGAGCAGCAACAGAACGCAGGGGTGAGCTTCCTGAGAACTGAGGTTCATGCTGAGGCTGGGGGGCTGGCTCCACTGTAGAGGTGACCCCGTCACCCTGCAGGGACAGTGCCCGCCTCTTGGGACTGGTGCTTTGCCATGTTCTGACCACCAGAGAAGACTCACACTGGTTCTGTCCAGCGGTTACCTTGGGTGATGCCGGCAGGCCCCCCCCGCCCTCACGTTGCTTCTCACTGGGAGCAAGAGGGCTGGAGGACAGAACCCTCCCAGGCCACGATGGCTGCAGGCAGGTGTCTGGCCTCTGATTCCGCTCATTTTCATGCCCAAAGTCCCTCCGCCAGTGCATGGACGCTGATGGTCATCATGGAGACCACAGAAGAGACCAGAAAAGGCCTCGAAGGAGGCAGCTCCCAGTTCTGAGAATTGCGCTGCTGTTCCAAGAAAATCCTCGGGAATTCCTTCCTCTGGCAAGAGTGCCCTCTCCTCCGTCCCATGCAGGCCTCCCCAGCCCTAGCAGGTGCACAAGTTGTCCTCGAGCCAGGCTCTCGCTGCTCCACTCTTTGGCTGCATGGGGCCTCTCTGGATCGTTCCGGGCAGGAGCTGGGCTTTCTCTGAGTCCCTCCTAGGCTGGAGCTCCTGGAGGACCTGCGGGCCAAGTGGAAGGCAGCTGAGCTGTGTGTGTGTCACCTCGGCCAAGGGAATGCCTTCTTCCTGTTCTGCTCCTGTCTGGGGGGAGAGCCGTGGGGGCTGGAAGGCGGAGTCCTCTGTGCCCTGTCTGCCCCTTCCCTGAGGGTCTGGGGTGGGGAGGAAGGCACAGGGGCTGAGCAGTCCTGCAGGCAGCTTAGCTGCCAGTGCTCTGAGAACTGCACAATAGGATGCTCGGTCGGAAGGCGCCCATACTTTCCCAGATGATCCGTGGGCTCCAGCAGCTGGGGCTCGCTCAGCGATCCTCAGCAGGTGGCTTGGGAAACGGTGGGGCCTGACTCAGCACTTTGCCAACTCCACCTCGTGGAGCTGGAGTGCCGCTTGTATCATCTTGTGTTTGAGTGACAGGCACATTCTGAGCACAGGCCCTCTTCTCGGCGGCTCCCTCCCTGCCCTCCGCCTCCCTCGCCCGCTCAAGAGTAGCATTGTTCTCTTTGAGAATAAAAGGCTGTGGTTCTCGTAATGACCAATCCTGCTTAGCTCTGCGGCCAAGGAGGCTTTAGTGGAAATCATTCCCGGTGATGTATTCATGGCGGAGGTTTAGACAGAACTGGCCATTCATGGAGAGACTCAGGTTGAAGAGCTGACCTTAACAGTCGTCTTTATGGATGGAGTACGGAAAGTTTACTGGCCATGCTGAAAAATCTTTAACAGGAGTGGCATCCTGTTTTCCCTGTGTGAGGTTGGGGACACAGATTGGCACTATGGTCACAGCGCCCGCTCTCTTCTTTGCCACCAACCATGTCATGGACAGGTGCTCACACGTATCTTCTACTGCACCCAATCTTGGGGAGCGGGAGAGAGAGAGAAAAAAGAACAAAACAAAACACCAATACTTGGGGAAATCACTTTGTTGCCATTACAAGAGTGAAAACCAAACAGGAAGAGAGCAAACCCCATTACTTACAATCCAGCACTGTGGCCAGGCACTGGGCTCAGCAAGAGGGCTGCATTGCTGATGGCCCATGGGCAGAGCCGGGCTGGCTCTGGGTTCTCGTATCCAGAAATCCCGCCACGTTAGGAGAATGCCCTAGTTTTGTCTGGATGACGTAGTTTATTGGGCAGAGCAGTAGGCTTGGCACTTGAGAAAAATACACTTGCAGTTTGCAAGTGGCCGTGCTGCCCCGACAGCACACGTCCCGCCGTGTGACACAACGGACGCCGACGGCCCTGGGAAGTCCGTTCCAGATGGCGGGAGCGGTTTCTGCCTGAGCTTTCTGGAGCGCCTGTGTGCTGCCCAGCCTCTGCTCGTGCTGGCTCTCGCTGCGTGTGCTCGCTTGGAAGAGGGGCTGACAAACCCATCAGGGGTCCTCCCCCACCGGGCTCTCGTTCCCGAGTGTTCATGGGCGGCACTCTGTGGCTGTGCGGTACACCTTGGGCAGCCCCCTCCTCATCACGTCTGCCCTGGCCTGCAGAGCTCTGTGCTCACAGCTAGACTTGGATCCACATCTCTCTGTCCACCCTTGACCACAGGGCAGCTGTGGTCACTGTGCGATGGAGCCTCAGCGTGACCCTGACGATCTCTCCTCCTTCACCCCAGGTCCTACTCGCACCCAGGCCTTGGGTCCATCCTTGCTCTGCTTCTCCTACCTGGGGCCAGGCTTCTTTCCCTGTGGGGTTGCTGGCTGCTTCCTGCCCCTGCCAGCTGCACCCCCCAAGAACAGGGTCAGGTCCCTCTCTCTGGGATGACGACCTGCTCCTGCCCAGACCTACGGCAGCTCTCACCTCTGCCTGACCTCACCCTCGCCTTACCTGCGCCTGCCTCTCAGAGAAGTAAGATGGCAAATTGGAATTCAAAAGGAGTTTATTTGGTGCAAAGCTATTTTTGAAATCCATACATAGTTGTTTCATTATACACATTGATAAGCATTATTAGATAAATATTTCACAACACATTGTTTTGCATTAAAATAAACTCATACTTCTAATTCCCCTTTCCATGAACTTTTAGGAGCACCTTTATACAGAGTATCTGGCATTACATAGTTAATTTATCTTTATGGAGAGTTGGAAAACCCTAGGGTATGGGTTATTTTACTAACGATGAGCACACATAAATGGTTAGAGGAGTCTTTGCTTATAATAATAACTTGACTAAGTGGATCGAGCGCTGCGAGTCACGGATGCTGTGTCCCTGAAAGGGCCGCTGTGGACTGCTTGCGGATGATGTGGTTCTGTGAGCGCACGCCCTCCTCAGACAAACGGACTGCCGCGCCTTCTGCAGATGCGGGGACAGTGTCCGGGCGCGTGCCGCTCAGAGCTGCGCTCTTCCTGGCCTCCTGCGGCCCACGTGCAGCTCGCTTTATTTAGAAGTTTCTTTCCACTTTCAAGTGTTCTCTCTAGAGGAGACTTCCTAAAAGAGGGAGACTTAGTGAGGAAAGCATGCGCTTGGTCCACATTTTGGAGTGGAAGAAAGTCAAGTTCTCACTGAAACTTTGGGGAGCCCAGAATTCCATCAGCTAGGTTTCTCCCCAGGTCATGGCTTCTTGAGGAAACTACCTGGGTTCAGGATATAGGCTAGAGGGCGCCCTCACTGACAGGAGAGTGCAGGGCTGAGGCTGGGAGGGCACCCTCACTGACAGGAGGGTGCAGGGCTGAGGCTGGGAGGGCGTCCTTGCTCACAGGGGAGTGCAGGGCTGAGGCTGGGAGGGCGCCCTCACTGAAGGAGAGTGCAGGGCTGAGGCTGGGAGGGCGCCCTCACTGAAGGAGAGTGCAGGGCTGAGGCTGGGAGGGCATCCTCACTGACAGGAGGGTGCAGGGCTGAGGCTGGGAGGGCATTCTCACTGACAGGAGAGTGCAGGGCTGAAGCTGGGAGGGCGTCCTCACTGACAGGAGGGTGCAGGGCTGAGGCTGAGCAGGCATCAACCTTGCATGTTGGTTACTCTCCAGCCGCCTCAGTGCCCACTGACAGCCCTACCCTGCAGAACAGTGAGGCAGGAGGGGTCTGCACCGCGAGCCCCAAGAACCGCAGCCTGGGCTGAGTTTCCTGCCCAGAGCCTGTGGGGTGTGCCCCCTCCTGGCCTGTCACACTAGGAAGGCGTGATGTCCGCCATGGTGATGAAAGCCCAGCCGTGTTCACGCCTGTCTGGGCAGTCCTATGTCCTTGCCTGCGAATAAGAAGTGAATTTTACACCTATCTTTTTTTTAAAAGAATTTATTTACTTATTTGAAAGGCATAGTTACAGAGAGAGGTGGTTAGGCAGAGGGAGAGCGAGATCTTCTGTCTGCTGATTCACTCCCTAAATGCCTGCCAAGACTGGTCTGGGCTAGGCCAAAGCCAGGAGCCTGGGACTCTGTCTGGGTCTCCCATGTGAGTGCAGGGACCCAAATGCTTGAGTTGTCTTTCTCTGCTTTCCCAGATGGATTAACGTAGAGCTGGATCAGAAGTTGATCAGCTAGGACTTGTACTGGCAATATATGAGACACCAGCATCACAGGTGGTGGGCCTAACTTACTGTGCCACAATATAAGCACCTGAAGACTTATTTATTTGAAAGGCAGAGAGAGACAGAGAAAGAGAAATAAAAATAGAGATAGAAATGGAAACCTTCCATCCTCCATTTCACTCCCCAAATGGCCACAACAGCTGGGGCTGAGCCAGGCTAAACTGGGAGCCAGGAGCTTCATCCGGTCTCCCACGTGGGTGCAAGGGCCCAAGCACTTGGCCATCCTCCAC